ACACATATACACAGTAACATTGGAGATGTATCAACACTACACATAAACACAGTACCATTGGAGGTGTATCAACACTACACATATACACAGTACCACTGGAGGTGTGTCAACACTACACATATACACAGTACCACTGGAGGTGTATCAACACTACACATATACACAGTACCACTGGAGGTGTGTCAACACTACACATATACACAGTACCTCTGGAGGTGTATCAACACTACACATATACACAGTACCACTGGAGGTGTGTCAACACTACACATATACACAGTACCACTGGAGGTGTGTCAACACTACACATATACACAGTACCACTGGAGGTGTGGTACCACTGGTGTGTCAACACTACACATATACACAGTACCACTGGAGGTGTATCAACACTACACATATACACAGTACCACTGGAGGTGTATCAACACTACACATATACACAGTACCACTGGAGGTGTATCAACACTACACATATACACAGTACCACTGGAGGTGTATCAACACTACACATATACACAGTACCACTGGAGGTGTATCAACACTACACATATACACAGTACCACTGGAGGTGTGTCAACACTACACATATACACAGTACCACTGGAGGTGTGTCAACACTACACATATACACAGTACCACTGGAGGTGTGTCAACACTACACATATACACACTGGAGGTGTGTCAACACTACACATATACACAGTACCACTGGAGGTGTGTCAACACTACACATATACACAGTACCACTGGAGGTGTGTCAACACTACACATATACACAGTACCACTGGAGGTGTGTCAACACTACACATATACACAGTACCACTGGAGGTGTGTCAACACTACACATATACACAGTACCACTGGAGGTGTATCAACACTACACATATACACAGTACCACTGGAGGTGTGTCAACACTACACATATACACAGTACCACTGGAGGTGTATCAACACTACACATATACACAGTACCACTGGAGGTGTGTACTACACACAGTACAACACAGTACCACAGGTGTGTCAACACACATATACACAGTACCACTGGAGGTGTGTCAACACTACACATATACACAGTACCACTGGAGGTGTGTCAACACTACACATATACACAGTACCACTGGAGGTGTGTCAACACTACACATATACACAGTACCACTGGAGGTGTATCAACACTACACATATACACAGTACCACTGGAGGTGTGTCAACACTACACATATACACAGTACCACTGGAGGTGTATCAACACTACACATAAACACAGTACCACTGGAGGTGTATCAACACTACACATATACACAGTACCACTGGAGGTGTATCAACACTACACATATACACAGTACCACTGGAGGTGTGTCAACACTACACATATACACAGTACCACTGGAGGTGTGTCAACACTACACATATACACAGTACCACTGGAGGTGTATCAACACTACACATATACACAGTACCACTGGAGGTGTGTCAACACTACACATATACACAGTACCACTGGAGGTGTGTCAACACTACACATATACACAGTACCACTGGAGGTGTAACACTCAATATACACAGTACACATGTATACACACACATATACACAGTACCACTGGAGGTGTGTCAACACTACACATATACACAGTACCACTGGAGGTGTATCAACACTACACATATACACAGTACCACTGGAGGTGTATCAACACTACACATATACACAGTACCACTGGAGGTGTGTCAACACTACACATATACACAGTACCACTGGAGGTGTATCAACACTACACATATACACAGTACCACTGGAGGTGTGTCAACACTACACATATACACAGTACCACTGGAGGTCAACACTACACATATACACAGTACCACTGGAGGTGTATCAACACTACACATATACACAGTACCACTGGAGGTGTGTCAACACTACACATATACACAGTACCACTGGAGGTGTATCAACACTACACATATACACAGTACCACTGGAGGTGTGTCAACACTACACATATACACAGTACCACTGGAGGTGTATCAACACTACACATATACACAGTACCACTGGACACATATACACAGTACCACTGGAGGTGTATCAACACTACACATATACACAGTACCACTGGAGGTGTATCAACACTACACATATACACAGTACCACTGGAGGTGTATCAACACTACACATATACACAGTACCACTGGAGGTGTATCAACACTACACATATACACAGTACCACTGGAGGTGTATCAACACTACACATATACACAGTACCACTGGAGGTGTATCAACACTACACATATACACAGTACCACTGGAGGTGTATCAACACTACACATATACACAGTACCACTGGAGGTGTATCAACACTACACATATACACAGTACCACTGGAGGTGTGTCAACACTACACATATACACAGTACCACTGGAGGTGTGTCAACACTACACATATACACAGTACCACTGGAGGTGTATCAACACTACACATATACACAGTACCACTGGAGGTGTGTCAACACTACACATCACAGTACCACTGGAGGTGTGTATACAACACTACACATATACACAGTACCACTGGAGGTGTGTCAACACTACACATATACACAGTACCACTGGAGGTGTGTCAACACTACACATATACACAGTACCACTGGAGGTGTGTCAACACTACACATATACACAGTACCACTGGAGGTGTATCAACACTACACATATACACAGTACCACTGGAGGTGTATCAACACTACACATATACACAGTACCACTGGACTGGAGGTGTATCAACACTACACATATACACAGTACCACTGGAGGTGTGTCAACACTACACATATACACATACCACTGGAGGTGTGTCACACATATACACAGTACCACTGGAGGTGTATCAACACTACACATATACACAGTACCACTGGAGGTGTATCAACACTACACATATACACAGTACCACTGGAGGTGTATTGGTTGTCAGATTTGATCATATGATGTCTTCTTGATGTTCCAGAAGCATTGGATAGTAATTAGAATTTGTTGAAATGTCTGGTTATGTTGTCAACTGGCATATGGATTAGTACTGTATGTAGGGTGGTACTCAAAGTTATGTTCAAATAAAAACAGTTGAGTTCTGCTTGATGTTTATCAGTTGATAAATGCTTTGGGTGGGTCTCATTGTAGGCATGTAGATAAATGTGTTGGATGTGAACATGGCGTGGAAATATATCTATATGTTTAGTATGCTCAATGTATTTGGGAAGATAGTGTATTGATATAGAGGTCCCCATGGCCATTACAGCAAGAACACAAAATCTCAAAAGTCAGCCATTACCACTGTATATATCCTGTGATAGGGAGATATATTGTCAGTATCACTATAGCGTAGTCACTCAAGCGTTACGATATCTTCTGTATGGTCAACCAGGCGTACAACTTCCTGTAACAGCTTCCAGAGAATCACGTTATGGTTACAGACCCCTAAAATGTTGATGTTGCTAATTCCTGTTGTAGTATTAAGTTATCAAAGGCCTTTATATGCTAATTGGAAAATTGTGCTCATTCAAGCATTTCTTGTAAATTGAATTTTAAAGAATGTAATTTGAAATGAGCATTAAGATTGTTGCCACAGGTAAACTGATTTTCTGATTAACTGAGGAATATAGTATAGAAATATGATGTAATTAATATTGAACTTTGTTGAATTAGAAAATTCTGCTACCTTTTCATATGGTTATTATGGTGACCATAAAAAGAGGAAGGACCTTTTTAAGAAGTATGTCAATGACTGATGCTTTGATGGAAATCTTGTGTTGTAGCGATGAGACAGTTGTAATTTTCTAAAACACTGATCATATTCCATAGGGAATACATCATCAGTTGAGATAAGCAGATTTCAAATCAAAACCTGAGCATATCAACATGATAATTTTATGAATTTCAAGGGAATCCTGAAACAGGCATAGATTCATATACCAAAAGGTAAGCCACAATTAGGGATTACTTCAACATGTTTTCTTGTTTTTGTAATATAAACATAAAAATTGCTGATGATTGAAAATTATTCTGTCAATATTGAACTACAGATTTTCGATTAACAACGAATGTGCTTAACCTTGATAGTGACCTCTTGGAATAACTCTGTATCTGTAAACCTTTTCTTTGTGTGGTCCATATTGTTCTAGTCCCCCCCTTAAATTCAATATGATGCATCCCTCCTCTTCTCCAAGTATGTGTACATCTGTTCAAGTCTAATTCCAGGGTTCTTTTGTTTAAAAATCTGTTTCTAAATAATGTTCAAGCTGGATTTATTTTGGACCTTGTTCCTATAGTAACCATTTCTATAATGTCTATGTTGGATGTTACTAAAGTAACCATTTCTATAATGTCCATGTTGGATGTTACTAACGTTACCATTTCTATAATGTCCATGTTGGATGTTACTAACGTTACCATTTCTATAATGTCCATGTTGGATGTTTTTTTTCTATTGTGAAACTATTTTTATACATAGACTATCTATTGTATCAAATGTTTGTTGTGAAATCCAGTACAATTGTGGCCCTGTCTTTAACAATTAACCTTTCCCCATCACTATGTTTATCTATGACCTATTCCTGTTTATACCTCTCTGTTATGCCCCCCTCCTGGGTCTGTTATTAAGTGTGTTCCATGACCTGACCCTATAATGCCCTTTCCCTCCCTTACTGTATAAGACTTCTCTGTTATGCCCTCCTCCTTGGTTTATTGTGAAACCTGTACCTAAATTGTTCCTTGTGTGTAAGGGCCCTCTCTCTACACTGTCAGTTGTCCCCTAACAGGTGATAGTAAGGAGAAATGATGGGGGTTTGTAGATAGGTTGGGTAATGTTTGGAGGTGGTGAGCTGGATGTGTATTATAATGGAGTACATATGGATAACATGCAGACATAATCTACTCCACAATACATCAGTGTTGTATGGGGGTGTTCCCAAAATAGCAGTACCTGCTGTAACTACCCCAGGCTGGTACACCGGAGCCTGACACAGCACTGACAACGCCACCAGCCTGCTACGCTTTGCTCCTCCATGCTGGTGGAGATAGATGTACAACTAATATTGAGACACACTCATTTTCGAGATCATTGATAAACTGCCTCTGGCTCTGTTTGGCTGGCTGGGATGTAAAAATATCTTTCTTATGTAATCCAGTGCTTGTAGTTTTAGGATCAGTTTATTTATAAAGCAGGGTTTTCGTAGTTTTTTTTTTTTGAGACCCTAAGTGTGGATAGATCATGAGAGCAAGGACATGATCTACTGCAGTAGTCATTTATAGCCTTTGGGAGATTAACCCACAGTATGGCTCATCAGCCAGGTATCGATGTGTGATTTCATGGGAAAATAACCTGGTACTTATATAGATTTAACTCACCTGGAAACACAGGTGTGCTGATTGGAATACTTACCTGGTGTCTATCTTGCTGTATTCTTTAAAGCAGAAGAATTTTATTTCGTGCTGTTGGAGGTGATTTTCTACGGTTTCAACATGCTGTCATTGTTTTTCGATATTTGCCAAATTTTTTCTACATATATGTGAAGTGTTTTGTTGTAAGGAAATATACAATTCTTTGTGAAAATTTGGGTGAAGAATATGCCAACATACGAATCTGAAAGGCCAAATCATCAGTCAACTAGTCCAGAATCCTCAGGTGTGAGGCAAAAAAAAGTAGGAGGAGGGCATGGTAAGGCTCGGCAAGATAATCAGCTTCAACGTCAAGCTTCTATGACAAGGGAAGGGGGACACGAGGACAAGATTCGCCGCCAGATGCACAAACAGGAGAGTAAAGACAGTGGTATTGTAACTGAAATGTACACTCGTCCTAAAGACTTCCCTGATACCTCTAGTCACCATAACAAGGGAGCTGTCTCCAAAGATCTGGCCTCGCCACGGTCCGATAATAGTAGTAGTAAAGACATGCCTAAAGAAATGACACGCTCAGAAAAGGGGGGCAGTTCAAAACCTCGCAGGACTGAGTCAGCCAAACGGTCATCCAGTCTTAAAGGAAGCAGTAAAAAACGAAGTGGTAGTTTGAAACATACGTCAGCAGAAGCGGACCACCAAGCCCATGGAGGGCCGGAAGAGTCAGAGGTGAGTCTAGCATGATATCTGTGTAATTCTGTCTTTCTCTTCACTTTCAGAAACTTAGCCAATCACCTGTACGCAAAAGTATATGAGACACAAGAAGATATGTGTCGAAAACGAAACGAAATACGAATAGCTAACATGCAATTAGCTGCTGTGAGGGCCCAGGTATGTAATGTTTGTTATGTTGCTATGTTGTTAGTGGTGTTGTTGAATGTTGTTCTTTTGATGTTTGATGACCAGTAAGTAAAATCTACCAAACAAGATAAAAAATGATCTGGAGATATGGTTACATGAATCAAGTAAGTTAGCTGCATTAAAGCACCCCTGTAACTCACCAGCTATTTAAAATTCAGTGAAAATTTGATTTCAAAATTTCAACAATAAATTTTTTACCCAACTTATTGTTCGCAAAAAAAAAAATTCCAAAGGGAAATCACGACTTCTGTATAATTTGTATCCTGGTATTCAGATAAATGGAAACCGTGGGACATAAAGGACCACTGTTAATGAAACATTTTAGAAAGGAAATCATCCACAAGCAAACAGAAATGTCTCTAATTCAAACTGTTAATAAGAACACCATTATTTTAAAACAATGCTTTTAAATGTGTGACAATCGCTTTTGACATTACCATCCATTCAATTGTTGTCAAATATTCCTGACAACACAGCTGGGTAAAAGATCGACAGTTAATTAGAACAATACTCTTATTATAACCAGACAATTCTAGTCTCATTTTTGAAACTAACTTCTTCTAGCCTGAATATTTCTTTTTAGCGATATTTGAAAGTAAAAATAAAAACCATTTCTAGTTAAAATTCTACCAACAGTTTCAGTTATAAACTGACATACTTCTGTCTACTCAGATCAGCTGAGTTCGCTAGGGTAAAAAAAATTACAAATAATTACATCTGTGATGAGGGTATTATTTGAGTCAGTTTTGATGTTAAATGTCATTCCAAGCACAAATTGTGGTGATTATAGCAGATATATAATGATGGTAGGTAACAGTGTTTCAGTCACTTGTACAATATGCTGCTGGTAGAAGTTTAACGAAGGCATGGGTTTTAATGTTACTACTTAAAGGTTTTGCGCCATTAATTGTAAAACTACAGATGCTCTTCATGAGAAGCAGTCATTGGATTGCTATACATATAAGCATTTTGGATAAAAAAGTTGAGTCTTTTGTTTTTTACGTTTTCACTTTTAATGGGGGAGGGTTTTTGGGAGATATTAATCATCTCCATCTGTCTGGTACAGTGTCATATCTTCTCAATATATTATGTTTATTTTCACACAACATGAAGATCTACTTCATACCTGATCAAATTCTGGTTACCATAGGAACAAGGACATTCATGTCTTAGACTGTTTTAGTGTTTTTAACCAATCCATGTTTACTTGACAAAGGAGATCTCTGCCTTTGTATCTTTATACAGGGACTGGTGACTTAGTTGTTGTAAACACATATATATGCCATAAGAAATATTTCTAACTACACCTGTACAGGCATGCAAACTTCAAATCTGGTCCACTTTCTGCTTTGTTAAAGAAATGAATTGTCAACAAAATTTCAGCCCCGTTAGATGTTACACTATTGCATTTAATTTTCATTATGCCTTACTTTTTAGTTTTCAGATTTTTAGCAAATTTCTGATACCAGTTGTTCCCAATTTCCTTGACTACCGATCATAGAAAAAAAAATCTTTTTTTTTTTCTAATAAATGCTATGTGGAGCTAGGATGGTATCCATTTTGACGTAAATCAGTGAGATTTAAATGAAGAAAAATGAACATGCTGGTTGTTATTAGCAGAGAAAGGGTGTAGGCTTGGATTGTATAATGAAATAAGTGCAACATTTCTAAAAGCTTTCATGAAAACTCCTTCCATATGGTTCCAATGTAGTGTCACTGACAACATGAGAAACAAAGATTGATTGTATACTGTCTGTTTCTATTAAGGTGTAGACATTGAATGAAGTAAAAACCTTTACTGGTCATGGCTGTAGTCTACAGGAATATATAGACCCATCCTAAAACTGACCCCATCCTTCAGTACAAGAATCTATATAGACCCATCCTAAAGCTGACCCCATCCTTCAGTACAGGAATCTATATAGACCCATCCTAAAGCTGACCCCATCTGTCAGTACAGGATTCTATACAGACCTATACTCAAGCTGACCCCATCCTTCAGTACAAGAATCTATATAGACCCATCCTAAAGCTGACCCCATCCTTCAGTACAGGAATCTATATAGACCCATCCTAAAGCTGACCCCATCCTTCAGTACAGGTATCTATATAGACCCATCCTAAAGCTGACCCCACCCTCCAGTACAGGAATCTATATAGACCTATACTCAAGCTGACCCCATCCTTCAGTACAGGAATCTATATAGACCCATCCTAAAGCTGACCCTACCCTCCAGTACAGGAATCTATATAGACCTATACTCAAGCTGACCCCATCCTTCAGTACAGGAATCTATATAGACCCATCCTAAAGCTGACCCCATCCTTCAGTACAGGTATCTATATAGACCCATCCTAAAGCTGACCCCATCTGTCAGTACAGGTATCTATATAGACCCATCCTAAAACTGACCCAATCCTTCAGTACAGGTAGCTATATAGACCCATCCTAAAGCTGACCCCACCCTCCAGTACAGGATTCTATATAGACCTATACTCAAGCTGACCCCATCCTTCAGTACAAGGAATCTATATAGACCCATAATTCAGCTGATAGGGACAGCTAACAATGATGCTGCACCCAAGATGTGTCCTAAGTTGACCCTGGTCTTAAGTCAGTGATCTGACATTCCACACTTAATAATTAACAGTAGCGGTCAGTATCCACACAGTTCCTACATATGTTGTGAAAACAGAGCAGGAGTTTATACCATGTAGAGGCTGTCTTGGCCGTTAATAGGATAACATCAGTATGGTATTGATAGCTGATTCTATGTGATAATAACAAGGATTGTTGTTCATGGCCCTATAATTATGTTACAGGGTCTTCTGTCCTTAGCGTACTGTAAGAGGATTTTCACTGATTTTAAGCAATTTTACTGATTGCAAGCTTCATGGTTTCATTTCTGTTTCAAAGAAAGTTTGCACATTGATTAAATAGCATCATTGAAGGAGAAACCCCTAAGTAAGCTATTTATAGAATTTTGATGTATAAAGAGAACTTTAATCAACAGTATTATTATAATTAAGCAGGTCCTGTGGTTCATTTGACTATCTAATTAGTAAACAATGTAACTTTGTAATATTGACTTTACTTTAGGAAATCCAGGGAGCTAATGACAGGGATCAGTAGCAGAGTTATTTCCGTGAAGAGTCATTATTCAAAATTTTGTTATAAAATCATAGAAAAACTCCTTGAAAATTGAACTGACAGATTAATCCATTTCATAATGTTTGTATAGAATGTTTCCTGTTTGTATGAAGATCTTGGTGAAACAATATCCATGACAAAACACTAGAAAACTCTAGAAGTTCTTGTTAAAATTCTGATGATTATCAGAACAATCTCACCAACAATTTTAGTCCAGATTGTCAAAATTTGATTTCATTTAATCATGTAAATGGTATAGTTACATCTCCTACAGTATTAAGGCAGGGAACAGTACGTTCGTTAATTCTGTATATATCAAGTTTCAATTACAAGTACTTCCGACTTTTTCAGTGAAATTTCCCTGTCTATGTAAGCTGGCCATGCTGAACTACTACTGTTAAGCCAAGGGAGTGGGATTTAGTGGGAAAGTCTAAGGTTCCACTAATCACTTTCCCCTTTCTAAACTCACTGTCAAGTCCCCAGCCAACTGTTGATCACTGCCAGACTATTTCTATAGTCAATAATAGCACAGTCCTGACAAAATGTCAGCATGTCCCAGGCCGATCACACTAACTATGAAATAAGAGTAGAAAGCCTTAGATGTTTGGGGTCCACAAGAACAAGATTGGAAAAGGACCATTACTGAATGTGTTATAAAAAATACACACAAGGTGGTTTATTACAGTAGTTACTGTAGTAAATACCCCTCTGGATTTTGTAGGCACGACGGCTCATTGTAGTGATAAGTTACTGTAATAACTAACCCACTAGATATTACAGGCAATGGTGTTCATTACAGTATCTACTGTAATAACTAACCCACTAGATATTACAGACAATGGTGTTCATTACAGTAGTTACTGTAATAACTAACCCACTAGATATTACAGACAATGGTGTTCATTACAGTAGTTACTGTAATAACTAACCCACTAGATATTACAGACAATGGTGTTCATTACAGTATCTACTGTAATAACTAACCCACTAGATATTACAGACAATGGTGTTCATTACAGTAGTTACTGTAATAACTAACCCACTAGATATTACAGGCAATGGTGTTCATTACAGTAGTTACTGTAATAACTAACCCACTAGATATTACAGACAATGGTGTTCATTACAGTAGTCTACTAACCCACTAGTAGTGGTGTTCATTAATACCTGTAATAACCCCACTTTGGATTTTCATTACAGTAGGTAATAACAACCCACTAGATATTACAGACAATGGTGTTCATTACAGTAGTGATAAGTTACTGTAATAACTAACCCACTAGATATTACAGACAATGGTGTTCATTACAGTATCTACTGTAGTAAATACCCCTCTGGATTTTGTAGGCAGGATGGCTCATTGTAGTGATAAGTTACTGTAATAACTAACCCACTAGATATTACAGACAATGGTGTTCATTACAGTAGTTACTGTAATAACTAACCCACTAGATATTACAGACAATGGTGTTCATTACAGTAGTTACTGTAATAACTAACCCACTAGATATTACAGGCAATGGTGTTCATTACAGTAGTTACTGTAATAACTAACCCATTATTACAGTAATGTGATAAGTAGTTACTGTAATAACTAACCCACTAGATATTACAGACAATGGTGTTCATTACAGTAGTTACTGTAATAACTAACCCA